AGTCACCAATCAATTTTAAATATGGCCCATTATCTGTCTAGCTGTCCCATACTTTAAGACCACTGGTTGAGCAGGACCTATATTTCCTTAATACGTTTTGTGCTTCGCGTAGGGTGCTACTTATTTCCACGTATTCCTTTCTTTGGTCATTGACCTGTCTTTCCATTACCGTCAACATTGGGAATAATGCCACTAGTTGATTACAGACTGAACCCATCCTATCTTCTGCTTTCAAGAATAGAGGGAGTACTCTGTGTCCACTCTTTTGACTGTGACTTTAGTATGTGTTTCAACAGGTCACACACTGGCATTATTTTGGTTTCAGTATCCTTAATAAAATAGGGAGTGGCCTACTGAATTTACCATTCTACGCGAGATAAAATATCCGGAATATACCTCCATCAAAGCACCTGAATGCTCGATAGAGTGACCATAACATTATAGAACCTTTGGAACTTCTGCACTGAAATGCATAGTTGCTTTCTTGTAATTACCGTGAATTACTATTGGATCTTCTTGTTCTTATATTCATGGATGAGGTGTATCATTGATAGCATAATTGTCACCATTGGTGAGTACAATGTTCACTAGCCCAATCCTTTTATAATCAAAATCTAAATCCCAACCTCTGGACGGTTGTTTTAATTCGACTTGGAGAACAAGATGATCAGCATAACTAAGCATTGTTTTCTAAAATTGTTCATTATCTTCAAACAGTGCCGTCAACAAATAAGTTTTCGTAATTCACTGACACATCTGACTAAATATCCCACTACCTTCACCATAACCTATGAGTTCGTGACCATACAACACCGCAGCAGAGTACAAATGTGCACAGACAAACCTTTGATTTCATGGCACGACCAATTCACTTGTTCAGATCTTTATAATCATAACGACACTGCCGTATTAGCTAAAGAGATGAGTCGCATTGCATACACCTTAAAAACTACTTTAAAATGAACGATAGTGGTTAAATAAACCACTCCACAACTTGTTTTCGGAATAAAATTTATTGAAAGAAGTGTTATCACAAATGGGAATAGATAATGCTCAGTAAACCTCTGGTGGTTTTTCCAGACATTTGTTTCTCTGCAAGTCCCTTCAGAAGCACCGGTCTATTGGTGGAGAACTGAAGACATTTGGCTGATTAAAACCTTTATATTAAATATCATTGGTTTCACAGTGTTTTTGGATGTATTTTTGTTTTACCCAACTTCTGAACTTGTTTGTTCATATCATTATTTTCTGACATTTTGGTTTCTCTTTGTCTCTAGTTTAACATTCGGGAGTTTTCGCTCCGTGAACCTACAAGATTGAAGGTTTGCTTTGTAATTGTTATAATTATTGTTGTTAGAAAGACATTCGGGTCGACTTTTTTAAAATTGCGAATAAACTTTGGTACCTAAATTGGAGTTTGGTTCTATTGTTAATCTGAGTTCGTAAATTGCAAATAGATCGATATACCATACTTCAATAACGGGAATGAGCAAAACCTTGGGTGTAACAGAGCTGTTTTCGTTTTCTCTCGAAATATTGATAATTATGATGTTACTGTTCCTGATAGATGGTATTCTGTAGATCATCATTCCAGTTGACATATGTCAGTGAACGAAGTAAACTCGGGTTGTGCCGAAATGTTATGACCTAGCTTATGTCGAAGTTAGAACTTGCAGTCATTACCAAACATATATCCCTTTTACGTGGTATTGGTAGTCTGTGGCTGCTTTGCTAGGTGTGTGAGATGAGCGCGACATTACTGCGGAAATGTCTCTGTAAGAACAGACTGCAGACACATAAAGAGAAAAAACTGATGAATGGGCTATTCCATAGCACACAAATGATTGATCACCGTTGGTCACCCTTAACCTTGACGATGCTTGCTAGATAGTCGAATGGTCACTGGTCTGTCATCTAACGCAAAAATGGTGTAACCTAAATGATGACTTGGGTAGGGATCAGTTAATTTTCCTTAGCCTTACAATTATAAGATCTACCCACTCCACCAAAAAGGAAGTAGGAACTCTGAATGATGTCCACATCACACCTCTGAAATAGATGATCTCGAAGACAGCAGCGAACCCTATAATCATCTTAACATTGATCCGTAACCAGACGACCTTTAGCGCCGAGTATGTAGTTACTTGAAAGATTTATATACCGAAACTGACGTGGAGAAAAAGTTTACAATGGATAACGCGGGAACATTCAATTCATTTTAATCGGATGGCATGAATCAGCTATGCAGACGTTGTCGTTCTCGTGTAACGTATCTCTTTTACTCATATTAAATACATTGTTCTATCTTCAGCCTAAATGTGTTCTCCATCATATATTGGTCGTTCTTACGATAGAACGAGTAAGTGTAGACAATAATAAGACTTCTACGGAAGATCTTATAGATTAGGTAGTCACATCTATAATATCTACAACTTTAGGATTAGGTCTATTATTATCATACCACTAATAACGACGCAGACCATAATTCTACAGATCTACCAGGACACCACAACTTACTGGTTAGTATAAACAAACGGATGTCGGGCTCCACTGGTGCAATTTGTTTCGACAAAGAGTAAGAAGAAATAGGGCTGGAAAAATCATACGGGTGGAATGATGATGCCCCAGCAATGACAAAGATGCAAAAAATACGTCTACTTGTTTTCTGCAGTAGGAAACCTTACATCACTTTATTTATTAATTCTTACGAACTGTGGGTTGGTCGCACTGTCAACGTCAGCGTTAAGACTAGTCGAAAAATATCGTTCATGCGATGACAATGTAGTAGTATGCCACGGCAATACAATGGGCAGTTCTCCGACTTTATAGTAATGATTAGTCAGTTGTGGTGAAGACAATACGAATATTTTATCTGAATATGAAATTGAGAGTGAAGCTACGCATGGGGATTGATTGAGTTGGAGAACTTGTTACTATTTACCGCGAACTCAATCTCTATCAACTCGGCCATTCGTAAGAGAACTCGAGATGTGCATATATATGAACATGAGTCTGGGGAAAAACCTGACTATTTCGTGACATTTTGGTGTGAAGAGGAGAGTGAAGGCGTTTTGCCGTTAGTCCGACAAACTCCATCACATTGAGCAGTGATTAAGTGCAGCCACGAAAGTATGTACTTCATGCAGGGAATTCGGGCACCAGTGTAAAGCTATTTTTGGCACGTCTGTCTAGGAATATAGAGAGAATACTTCCATATATGTATTTCCTATTGATTATTCCCCCTGTAGTTCTGTTGTATGTAATGTTTCCTTCACTGGTGTCTATATTTTCGAATACTAGTTCCCCCTATTGTGGCTGATTGAAACTATCATTACTATCTTATTTACAGATTCTGATTTGAAAAAACTTGTTGATTTTATTACGTTTCTAATAACTGTTTTGCCTTGGTTCTACCCACCACTGTTTTATGGCTGGTTTCCTTTGGAACTGCTGTATTTAATTTGTCACTTTGTGAATCGATTATATCTGATCCATGAGGTTGATCTAAAGCAACGTTCTCTGTTTGTTTGTGGAACGTTTGGTATTAGTGAACGGTAGTTAGTTTTATTTCTTTTAGAATCATTATGATGATGTCACAGGTATTCAGTGTTTGACAACGCTTCTACCAGTAACACCTTCTATTATATTTCGTTCCCGCCCAGAGAAATCAAAAGACAGAGTCGAGGAGATCGGAAGAGTATATTTGGCGATGACCAATATATCGGAATTCTCTGATCTAATCTGGCTAGCGATTGCGGTTGATGTTGAGCACGGCGTTACCACACGTGATCTGGTGCGGATGCATGACCGAGCGCCTTCAGCTAGATGAGTCCACTAAAACACATGGTCAGCATCCAATGTCGAAAACTTACAGAGCTATTTAGTTTGGGGATTTATTTACCGCTACAATTACTTTCTAGTTTATTTCCCAACCTCGGAGCTAATTGTGCTGGCAAATGTATTTTTCATGAGTGAGTTTTGTCAAGTGTCTGTATCCGTTTAAAAAGCACCTTTCAAGAACAATTACTTGAACTTGTACATGAAAGTTTTCACAGTACATCTTCTGCATCCCCTGTACCAATTTTTACGCCCTTCACGTCACCGTATGGAAGTTATTAGCTTTTATCGCTCTTGGAATTATTGAAGTTTATAGAGCGTTACTTTTATACTATCAAGTATACTGTCATACTCAGGCAGTCTGTGTTCAGACGTGATAGTTGTTAACACAAATTTTTACGCATATGAATTCTCACTTACGCCGTTTCGGATAATAAAGTAGCTTGAATTTTTCCATATTTCGTCAAAAACATGCTCTCAGATTTAACTTTGTTTACATACGTTGATAACTGTTTGAACGCCGTCACTTCGTCATCTAGACTAAGAACTCAAAGGACTCTAAAAATATGATACTACTGTGAGCATACAGGGTGTTTGACTAGGGACTCGAATATTTGATTTTCACAGATAAGGAACTGACGCCAAAAGTATTCTACTACTGGCCATATTTGAAAGTGAAGATATAAGAGTGCTCCCGCATCAATTCATAATGACGCACGGCAGCTATGCAAAGCAAGTATCCCTTAGGATTCCTTACACACTGTAAAGGTGTTCTGGATAAGTTTGTCATAAACTGGGATCTCTTCTCAGCGGTCAAATTCTGTAGACACGTAGCTTCGGACGGTCATTCACAAATCAACAGTATGGTCGTAGGATCCCATCGAATGTCGAAGATTTTTTTCGGCACCAGAGAGATACCTTCATTCCTTGTACGAAGCATGAAAAATGCAGCGAAAGCAAATGTTATGTGTCCATGAAATGACCTCTCGACTTCCAGCAGAATATATAGATCTCATATTAAATTGTCATAAGTGTAGTCGATATCAGCTGAGGATGTAAAATTAAGTTCCTTGCTCCAAATTTTAATCCTAACTTGCCATACTAATTTGTAATCCTTTTTGATGCTAGTAATTTGAAGTTGTTTCAAGGTCATTTCACCGCCGCCCAAAGGTCATTCGTAGGTTATACTCTAGCCGAAGTTTTAGCTGATGTTACGTTAATGTACAGTTTTTATAAGTTAAATTCACTCGATCAGATGTTATGAATTAAACTGGTCCATCCACATGCATACTAGTTCACTTATAAAGTATTTTTCAGATCGCCGCTTGTTCATATATGAACAAACAGTGACTACGTGTAATCATATAGATTCATCAGTATCACGTATTATTGTTTAAGAACGGTGAAAGTCTTGACAACATGAAATGACCTAAGTTATCTAGGGAACCGTAAAAGGGGAAATGGACACGAACTTAAAGCAGAAATAAAGTTGACCATAGAGTAAATAAAGAAGAAAAGTCGATTTCCCCCCTGACGTCTATTATTTGGGAGGAATTTCGACAGTAATGTTTGGAGAACTATGTTATATAGGTGTTGATACACCTAAGTCCATATGTTACATTGAACTGTTCGGAAGAGTATCAAATTCTCCGCGTTAGTAAGAACTTTTTTACTCAAACGAAAAAATAAACTTATAGTAATGACGAATATCATCCACAAAATGCTCAGTGTTTTTCCTACCGTCATGGTGTCTTATGTACTTTAACATGGTTACTTAGGCAGCCATTTATAAAACGGTTTTATAACTTCCACAAATTGTAGTAAATTCCTTCAAAAAAAACAGGGTTCATGCTAAAGTGGACAGGAAGTTAAGCAGTTTCCCAAACTTGACAACTGGTAGTTCACTGTAGATCGATTAGACCTAAACTTACCAATTAAAATTCTACCTTCTTTAGTATACTGATGCATACCTTGGGAGCAGCACTTGTTACAATTCTATTATTCAGAGATGTTGGAAACTAACATAATACTATATTACTAAATAACGTTACTTGTAAACTGTTTGGTAAGGGTGAGAAGGGAAAATCTGGTGGTTAATTATTTTAAGATTCACTTTCCAATATCTATATCTTTGGGATGACCATTAAAATGAGCCCTTCTCCACTATAAACAAACAATATTCACTACGCCCCAAACTTTTTATTGTAATTTAGTTGCTGCGGCAAATAATGACTTTACTGTAGTTTGAAAAAGACTATCTCGGCATACACATATGGTTTCAATTCTACTTGAACAATTTATGAATTTTTGAGGAATTAAACATTTTGTTTGTAGAAAGTATCGTTATTTTAATCACAATTTGCAGGTGAAAATGGCGAACTTCTTTTTTCGCTTTTAGGAATACGACTACAAGTGTATTACCGTATATTCAAAACAATACTAAGATCAATATAATATGGGAAAAGGTACAGTACAATCCGACTTACATGATTTATTTATTTTCACCATCATAGACAACAGTATGAAACCAAATCAATGGGAATAAACATGGCATGTAGTAGTAAATGCCGTAAAAATAATTTAGGCTTTATTGAGGAGACGATGCAACTTGTAGTAATTAAACTGAATAGTCCATTTCTATTTCATCGGAAGTCGAATGACTTAAAAACTATTTTACAATTGCTTACATTTTAAGTAGCAACTATTCGTATTTGTTAGCGTTTGTTGTTTTTACATGAGTTTGTCATTTCACTGGGAAGGAAACTCTTGCTGATCATTTGTTTTGCTTTTTGAAATCAGTTCATTATGTTTTCGTCAGTAGTTTGATTACGTGAACAGTTTTTAGTCAAACCCACCATCTATCAGTATTATACTCATCCTAACAACCAAAACGGTTCAATCACAGAACCTAAAATACTTTATTATAATAGCTACAGGCGTCGTATCCTAAACCAACTGGGAAACTCTAATATATATTATCTAGATAGAGTCTTAGTTTTATTTGCATTTATCATCACCCTATCATTCACCCCTTTTTCAGATCAACTGATGGGCGATTCACTGTATTAAATGGAGGAGCATTTGCTAGTCCGTAAAAATACACACATTTACGGATGGTAAATCATGCGCGAAGAATTATTGCAGGTATCTTTCGTTAAAAAGTAAATCAAGCTTTCGTGTAGAAATTACATTCTCTTCAGGAACGCAAACGTCTTATGTGTTCTCGTTCGACGAAGATCCGAGAAGTTGAATTAAAAAGGAAAATAATTAACGATGGTTAGTAATTTCTTAGTCTAGTGACTAGAGTTTTCCACATATAGTTCTAGAAATTGTGCCAAAAACATCAGCGACTGCTACATGCCTCCGGGCAATTGAATTCGAGGTAAATAAGCAGGATATAACTCTGCGACCTTGGAAACAAAGAAAATTGAAGTCAATGGATTCGACAAATAAGACGGTATAATAATTTTTCTTCCACTAACGATAATAGGATAGTAAAATTCATTCATACTTTCCACTAATAGACTTAGTTGTTTTCATCAGTATATATATATATATATATATATAATTGAAATACAAAGAGATATAACCATCAGTGCTTATGTCTGACCTTTATTAACAGTCAAAGCTATCGGAGTGTATATGATCTCAGTGCTCATTCAGTAAATAGTCAATCATGAATTCCTGTTCATTCTAACTCATTCTAGCATCATGGTAGCATTTTCATTCCTTGTCACATTTCGTCAGTAGTTCAATACATGACTCTGCAAATATTAAGCTTTAAAGTATATCAGTCAGTCAGCTACAACGTAGAACCAGGCACATTTATGCATCGGTCCAAGTTGCCATACCTCATTAACGCAACAAGATGGACACCGGATTCATAAAAGTAGTTAATTCAGAGGTGGTAATATATAAAAGAAAGATTACATATAAGGATATAGTACAGAAAGAAAGAATTAGTTCGTAGAAAGAAAGATATGAAGTGATTTTAGTCTCCTAGTTTAAGGGAAGACAGGGAGTGTATACACCGACGCCATTGTGATCGATTCTGAGCCATGTCACCAAGAGTCTCCAACCATTGGTTACGATAGTCACGCGGACCACAACCAAGTAGTCTGCATCTACCAACATGGCTCAGACTAGAAGTTGGTGACTTTAAGCACTGATGCCACGTTTTGGTTTGGCCGCCCCTAACTTTCTTCCAACCATTTCCAATACCGGATAGCATTGCACGACGTGGTAATCGATGTTCGGGCATACGTAACAGGTGGCCCAACTATCTCAGTTGATGAAGATTCACAACCTCATCAACTGATATATCATCATTTCCTAATACCCTGCGTCGAACCTCACTATTACTTACCCGGTGATCCCAGCAGACGCCAGCAATATTTCTAAGGCATCTGTGGTCAAATACTAGTAGCTTACGAGTGTCTTCTACTCTTAATGGCCATGTTTCGCTGCCGTAAATTAAAACAGAACGGACTTCCGCGCAGTATACTCGTCCTTTTATTGATAGACCGATATCTCGCCTTCGCTATAGGTGACGCAAGTTGGCAAAAGCCAAGTGAACTTTTCGAATCCGTGTTGAGATTTCGTCAGACACCAACCCATTTGGGTTGATCAGACTTCCGAGATAAGTAAAGTTGTCAACGCGTTCGACTACTTTACTCCCTATCCTCAGTTCAGGTGTTGACGCAGACCAGTCCTGAAGCAACAACTTGTATTTAGAGGGAGAGAAGCGCATTCCAAACATTCTGGCATTGTTGCTCAGTGCTACCAAAAGACTCGGCATTTTATCAGCGTCTTCACCAAACAGGACTATGTCATCCGCGTATTCTAAGTCGATAAGTGGACCTCCTGGATGGAGATCAATACCTGAGAATTCAGTCGACGAGAATATTATTTCCATCAATAGGTCTATGATGAAGTCGGACACCACTTGAGGTTGCAAAAGCAGATGACAGTTCGCCATAAGCTCTGACTCGATTGGTAGTGTTCGAGTAAAGAGCCTTCACAAGGTTTATGTACTTCTGAGGTACGCCTTTCAATGACAGACATTACCACAGAATCTCGCGGTCTACCGAATCAAATGCTGCTTTTAAGAGCAGATGAGGGTGTCGTCTTTTTCCTAAATAGTCTGACTTACACTTATTAATTCCAGTTTCTTTTATTAGTCTGTAGAGCCGTTTTGTGTTCCCTATAGCCACCGCCTTTTCCATCTCCTTTGCTTTCGTTGCCCACCACTGCTCACGGTCGTTCCTTAGACTTTTTCTTAACCTAGATCTGATTTGTTTTCGCTCTCCATCGTGTTCAGAGCCTGATGAGATGGGTTTACGAGAATCCATCAGTGCAATAGACCTTTAGGAAATCCATTGGTTCTTTGTAACCCTGTGGTTTAAATCACTGATAGATGTCACTGCTGTTTGTATAGCTTTCCAAGCAACATCTGGGTCAGCCTCGTTTTCAGAACTACCTACGTGTGATCTCAGTTGTTCCTGGAACCTACTTTTGGTTTTCTCGCTACTCAATTCAGATCTAATGGGTCTTTTTAGTGTGGCTTTTTTGCGTACAGTGAGGCGCAGGCAGATGCGTGCCCGTATGAGGGCGTGGTCGGAGTCCAAGCAGGTACTCCAGAATGAGTGACAATCTTCTACCGACCCTCTCCAACGATGACTGATGGCAATATGGTCTATTCGAGTCCATCGTTGGCTTGGTGTAGGGGGTCGCCATGTTAGACGATGTCTCTCCTTATGCTTAAAATTTGTTTTTGCTAAAAATAAACGATTGTCTGAGCACAGTTGCAGCAGACAATCACCATTATCTGTTCGTTGTGCCGGAATACTAAAATACCCACCAAAATACCTTTCTGTTTTGTTTAAACTACCTATCTGAGCATTAAAGTCACCTGCTACGAGTACTATGTCTGAGCGTTTAGCTTTCTGAAGAAGTTCAGATAGCTTTCTGTAAAATTCATCTTTCATTTCATCTGAGCTGCAGTCGGTGGGAGCGTAGGCAGAAACGACAAAAAGGCAACGACGTGTGTCCCTATCCTTCCGAGTTCTTACGGAGCCGTTTAGCCGAACAGCACATAGACGACTGTTAACGGGGATCCATTCTAACAGTGCTTGTTCCGCCCTCATGCTTAGTGCTATCCCTACTCCTACCAGTCCACGAGAGCTGGCCGTCGGGCCACCAGATACACGGAGAGTGTATCTCGCTGACTCTCCATTTTGCCGAGGTGAGATCAAGTGAATCACCACACTGGAATCCTGTATGCGTGTTTCAGAGACACAGCATACATCAATGGTACGAGATTCTAGGGTTTTAGCGAAGGAAGCCTGTTGCCCGATTTCACATAGTGTGTGTACATTGAAGGCTCCAATGTGTAGTTTGGAACGAGGTTTCAGTAGACCTGAGACAGTGTTTTGAGCACTAGAATTGTTGGCTATGGTGACATTTGAGGGGGAAGCCAAAAAAAGGAAGTTTAGAGGTGAAAATCGATGTAGGAGGAGTAATAGGAAGTGAAGACGGAGGTTGATTATGAATACAGTGGTCTTGAGTGCTGTTAGAGGTATGAGGGCGGTTATCACTCCACGGTTGCCCACACCGAGGAAGGGTTCTTCTGGAGGTCCCTGAAAAGGAAATCGGATTAGAGGTGGTCTTAGTGACCTGAGAGCGTGACCGCAGTGCCCAAGGGACAACTGCTTGAGGTCGGTCACACACGACCTTTTTATGGGTAATTTTTGTGTTATCTCCGTACATGTTGAGACCTTACCGCCGGAGACGGATATCCGTGGGATAAGGCGAGGTGTGCATTTTTAGGGTCGACCTTTTCTAACCCCACCCTTCCTTGTGGGAAGGCAGCATCGCTGTCATGCTGGTTGTCTGAAGGAAACACCTTACTGCTGTCACACCTCTGTACAGTCAGCAGTACGACTTCGCCTTCAGACCTTAGGTTTGTTGCTTTTAGTCTTACCGCTCTTCAACCGACCTGTCTGACATGGTAGGACCTTGAGGAACAGTTGTTCCAGCCAGTGTAGCTCGGTTGCTTCATCACGATAGGCTAGTCCGACCACCACGTCAAGGTAGCAACAGCAGTCGAGTTTAAAGTATATAGTGTTTCATTGATACAAGTTTCACTTTATAGTACTTAATTTTCATGCTATTAGGTAATAGTTTCAGTACTTTGATGTTCACTCGGTCCGATAGTTTAGTTTTCTTACAGCTTCATATATGTGGTATTTGGGTTTTCAACTTGGTGTCTTCTGTCTGATTTGCTGTCCCCAAAACATTTTAAGTTGCACTGTTTATTCCGGTCACACTTTATAATGAGTATCTAACCTTCACGACCTGAGATTTTGTAAGGGCAATACTTTTTGCAGAATATCGGTGAGTTTCGATAGGTATGAAACCCATTTCCATCTGTTATGGTTTTCATTTTAGGTAAATCAAATACTATCTATTGTCAGTGCCTTTTTTTTAAACTAACTGTACGACTTTTCTTATCCAGTCTCCCCTCGCTTCAGTTGTTATAAACGCATCTAATTCTAAAGACCTAAGTCGTATTCATGCTGAGAGTTTACATAAAGGCACTTTAGAATGGCGTTTGAACCGCGCAATCGATTCTGGGCAGGCTGACCTAGCAGAAAAGATAAGTGACTCCATTGGAGATCATGTAAGTTATATCATGTGGTTTTCCGGTTACGTTTGTACTCTGAATCGCATTTTATGCAAATACCCTCAAAAGGTAGATTTTCAAGTGTGAGTTTGGATCACAAAATAATTTATTCTCTCCTACTTTAATTAATAACTATTAGCGAACTCCTTATTCTGTCTCGTTTTAAAATTATTAACATATAGATACATATATGTATATATATGCTCATGCCTATTTAATCTAATTATGTACATTACGTAAACTCATACGACTAATTTCTCGATAAATTTATGAATTCTTGGTGAAATAATGATATTCAGCGTCCATTTGTCTCAGTTTTATTTTAAAGCATGTTAAAAAATACTTGAAAACTCCGAGAATATTTGATTGTGTTTCTAAAATTCACCCTACCAACATTGTTTAGAGGAGCTTTAAAATATTGATGTCCTACTGATGTTAATCATACTGAACGGTCTTTATGATGTAGTGACCCAGTAGCTGTATAGAAATAAAATAAAAACTCGTATTCACCCCATAGACAAAACAGTTCTTGTTCTACGTACGCGATATATTCTTAATGTTCTGTGTTGGTAAATGATAGTTTGAATCCAATAATAGTGAAATTTATATTTACTATTTACATTGTATGTTACACGTAACATATCTGTAACTGTGACGGCCTTTTGGTACCAAACAAAAGATTTGAATGTAGAATTTTTGTGGCTAGAGACGTTATCAGATATGGCTCAGAATAGAAGCCAGTGGCGATCCTGCTGTAACCTTCTTTTACTTTCTTCATAAAAAAGTGGTTGTGTCTCCTTTACCTGAAAGATTTCTTCTGATTGTACCTTTTCGTTCCGTCGTTACTACCACACTACCTTACTCCAATCTCTTCGTCATTGTTCTCTTTTTCTTTTGCGCTCCTTAGTTTTTTTTTCTACTTCTCTTCGAATTCTCATTGTTTTGTGTGGCGCATATATATTGGCGCTCTCTTGTACCAATATTCATGTGTTCAAATAAATAAATAAATAAATACTAGTTATGTTACTGAAATGAGGTAAAACTCAAAGATAACCTGATCATACCATGCAAACAGCATAATTCATTCTTAGGCAGCTGGCTTTAAGAATATTTAGACACTGAGAATACTTTAACATTGATAGTCATCTAAAAAGTGTTCAGAACATCTTTATTGATCTAATTAGTTTAGTCTATATCTATTACTGAAGGATTATTACCCTGTTCCTCTCTAAATAATCAGTCGTAAATAGTGTAAAACCTGGCACATGTGCATCATCGGTTCGAGTTGAGACAACACATTTTAACGGCGGGGTAAAATTATCAAGATAAATCCCAGTTTGTTAGAAGTATTAACATAATCAGTAGTAATAGTAGAAAAGACTAGACACAGAGTTAAAAGATTAAAGGATTTTCGGACTCAGAATATAAGGATAGACAAAGTGTAGATGCACCTGCGGCATTTCAAACGATTCTCGGCTATTTCACACAACAGCTTCAGCCACTGATTACAATATTCACGGAGATCTAACTAGGCGGTCTGCATTTGTCTATATGGTTCAGTCGAATCGTCATGTCTCGGTTTAGTTGCCTTAAGCTTTCTTCCAATGTACTCATACACCAGTCATGATTGTGCGCCGCTATAAGTGGGGGTTAGGGATATGTAAAGCCTCATATATGTAACAACCACCTCAGTTGATAACTCATTAGCATTACCAGTCGATTCACCATCCTTATCTAGTACTCCGCCTCTAACCTAAGAATTGCTAACTCATAGTCCCAACATATACAGGCGATGACTCGAGAGAATCTGTGAACTGCGAATATGATCTGTCTCGTTCTCCGTGGTGTGATTCAGTGAAATCCATATAACTCTGTACATGCGTTTGAGTGAGAATATTGTGCCGCTTTAACCAATTTGTTGAATGCACATAGATTTGTAAATCTCTCCTCATTTTCATCCTTTTCTCTTAGTCCATGTCTTCCCATGATATCTTCATATTCGATGTTGTCCATTCCGACTTTTGCGTTTAGGTCCCTCATCAGGATGGTGAGGTCCTTTCCTTGGGCACTTTGCTATGATCGGTTGCGGCCTCTCATGAAAATGATCTTAATCGTCGTCATTGCTATCATCAGTGGGTGCATAAGATTGGATAATATTCATTGTAATTCCCTCCTTCATTGTTTTGAAGGATGCTTTGATGATGTTGGATCCGTGAGATTCCCATCCCATAAGTGCATTTCGTGTTTCTTTGTATAGCATCAGAGCAACTCCCTGAGTGTGTGAAGCATTTTCCTCTTTGTGACCGGAGTACAGCAGCATCTCTCTGATATCTAGCCTTTGCTGTCCAGCTTTGGTCCAATTTGGTCCAATTATCCGGACGTTCGATGTACCCATAGAAATTGTTGCTCTGGTTGCTAGAAGAGGCATCGGCATTGTGACTTTCAAATAATCTCGGCCTTCATCATGAGGCGTCATGATTCTCCCTTCAACTCGGAGTCAGAGTTTAAATGGTTTGATTTGTTTGATCTGGATGGCGTTAATTTAGCAAGATTGTTTTCTACGGAGTGGGGTTGCTGACCACATGCCCAACCTTCCTCTTTTACCAGAGCTTGGGACCGGCAGTAACTCTAGAAGAGCTACAGGCTTGGGTTATATATATATATATATATACTAGTTATGAGGAAAGCCTACAAAGGTTTTCCTTTTACCTTATTCTCTCAATCCTAACACTTGTTTCTTAGGAAGAATTACTTGAAATACACGGAAAATCGAATGTGCAATCTTTTATATCATAAATTGAATTGCAAATAATAAATTATTTGTTCATATATTTCTGACATCGTAACTGGATTCAGTTAAATCAAAAATACAAAGTGGCGCATCTTAACTGTATTTTTCCCAAGGAAAGTATCATATATAACATATTGATTAATATTTCTTTGATAAAAACCTCTAGTTTGTATAGTTGCGCCACTCACTTAAATATAAATTGCAATTTATGAGCACATTTTATGGCAATCTGTAATATCCATGACTTTCATTCGTAGAGCACGTAATTAATGAGAATTCACAAATAATTTTTATTATATTTTACTGATTCATTCATAGTCTATATGTTTTGAAAACCCATGTTTAAATGATCAAAAGATTTATTACACGATGTTTTATAACAAAAGAGGTTTGACATCAGAAACTACTGCTATGCTCTGCGGTTGTTCGAGTTTGCTACTGATAAAAAACACGCTTACTATATATGTAGCTAATTGAGTGTGAAAACCGAGAGTGAGTAGGAATTTTTGATAGGCTAACCGGATCAAAAATGTATACACAACTCACAAACATAAATATATGTCCCTCAGAAAATGAAGCCACATTTTTAATCTGTAGCGTATGTTTATTTCCTTGAAAAGTCAGGCCGAATCTTGGTCAATAACGTGCGCCCGTCAGCATTTCTCACTTGTCATTTAGCCTGTCTGATCGACTCAGCGTATCAATTAGTGCTGATCCTCAGTTGCTAAGTTCTGAAAGATTACTCTATGTTTATCAAATACTTAATTCAGAAAGTACAGCTGGTTCGACAACCGTAATACATTAATAATACAATCCATTAAGGTATGAAAATAATTCATAAATAGTAATTTATTGTGTCAGTCATTCTCATCCACCTCGATTTTTCCTCAAATCTATAGTTGTTGTCTACAGCTTCTTCCGACAAAAATATTCATTTGACTTTGAGCAAGCAAGATGAATACAAAGAGGAATTAAAAAATCGGCGACCTGTTTGGCTGTAAGTTTATGATTTATTGAGTCAATTTTTCCTGTTTTATGCTTTTTTTTATGGAACACCATATCCGTAACTGTTTGTCTGTCTATTTTTGTTAACTTTGAAAATTAACAAGGTTGATTTTTTATGTGGTAAAAGACTTATTACAGTATCGATAAATGTAAAATCAAAGATGGATATTCACTGATGGTATTGTATCGTAGTGATGGCCCTATATTATGAATTTACTAATGCTAAGAACCCCTGCCTAATACATCACGACAGTTTGATTACAAAATTCATCCCGTACGATGTACTGAACTCCTCATTTACATGATTGATGGGTGGCTTATTTCCTCAGTAATACAAATTGTCTTGTTAACACACACCAACTCACATCACTTGTTGCACTCAACTGATTGTTCTGTCTAAAAGCTCTTTTTTGAAAAGCTAAAGGGAAATATGTACCACAAAAACAAACCACATATACGTATTCATCACTTTGAAGCAACAAGTGCGTATACGCACTACGTCTTATAGACGACTAACACAAATTTTTTTGATGAGATTTATTGCACAAGAAGTAAATTTATCTGATAAAGGTGTCTACATTCATTAAGTGAAAAAATCAGAATAAATTCTACACAGGATTAGTCACTTCCTACTCCGATCTTCATTGTTAAGTTAGACATGAGAAAGTTTCAGGTTGACCAAACCAAGTCTTTTTGCCAGCTGATCATCAGTTATCATCTCTTGGTTTAAATTGTTTGCAATTGTTCTAAACATGCTTATGATATTTGAAATATAAGGGATTATTTGTTGATAATTTAAACGTCATAGTTTAGTAAGATGGTTGTGGAAATTTTCACATCTTTTTAGACTCAACTACAAACATTTAATATAAAAGATGGATTGTGTCTAGCAGCGAAATACAGGACATGCATTTTTTCGTTTTAAACTCGTCTGCTGAATGTACGTGAATCGCATGCATCCAGCTGACGTGCCCCAAGCGAGACGAAACAATCGTTCTGGATTTAGTTCTAGCCAAAACCCATCTATTCAGTAAAATGTTGTGAAAATGGCTCTATCGAGGCTATCCGCTCAGGGTGTATATATCCCAGTTAAGACTAGTAAAAAAATCTGTCAAGATTTATCAGTAACGAGACAATCCAAGTCTTTAATTAGGTATAAGACATTTGTTTATTCAGTCCTTGGCCTACCCTTCTTTCTAGTTCGTGCCTATGTTACTTATTTATCAAGTACAGATTTACGTACGAACCTGAAAACCACACTTTTTGTAAAGCTAGTGATACCATTGGGTCGCTTGTACTCGAAGTAAGAATCGAACATTAATCTCCTGGTTGAAAGCTAGACGCTTTAACCACTTAAGCTGACGCTCCACTTTAATTCTTGTTAATCGTTGTTTTCGTCTCTTTTTTCTGTGTTACGAATCGAAATGTGAAAACTTGACCCATTTTGATGTTGTCTACCTTATAATTTCATAGTTTATCATGAGAATACGGCTCACTATTATGAACAGTCATAAGGAATCAATATTCTACATTAAAATGTGACATGTTTTTCTCTGTTAAATTTATCTCTTTCTCATATTGTTTCACTTTTTGTGTGATTTTTAATTAACCAAATATCCATGTATAAAGTTTTATTTGATTTAAAGTTTTAGTATTCAATCTCTTTAGTAAATAATTATTAATGCAAATTTTAAACAGATTTTTGAGATTAACTCTGTACAAAAGAGCAGTTTGAACGATACGCATGAGAAACAAAAACTAGATTCTTAATTACTGTGTTCATAGATATAATCAAATAGTATGTTTTATGAGGTTCGTAAATAAGAGAGCTGTAAAACCAAGGTTTATACTTTCCACCTGCATTTCGCTGCATATTTTGCATTAATTTGTCATTTTTTGTATTGCCTAATGTTGAAGAACAGTAGATGGTTAGTTTAGTATGTCATGCTACTTATGCTAACCAGAAGAGTTCGATCAAATCTGTTTGCCGCGTGGTTCCATATGATTCCCGATCCGTTTATATGCTAAATACATTATTTTTCAAATCAATAACTAATTAGTACATCTATTTTATGTCCTCATAGGAATACTTCATAAACATTGTCTTTATAATTATTGTACTTGACGTTAAATAAAAACAAAAGTTTCTATAATGTGTTGCTTTAAGCATTTTGCTGTACATATGTAAGAATCCAGTGCATATTTTTGTAAATAAACATCGGAATTAAAGAGTATGTACTTTTATCAGTGTGAATTTTCCCCTTGACTGCTTCTTTGTTTGTTAGCCCATATTTCGGCACCGTTTGTTCATTATGTATTTATCTCCCCTGTTTCCAATTAGTTTTGTGTCTCATTTTAAATTCATAGTTCTTTGGCACCCCGCTGTCATATTTTAGGGGTTAGAGAGAACCATCCTGTTCTATAAGTGCTAAAATACGACTACAGATTTCAGAATCGAATGGTGATTGAAATTCAGTGCAAAAATTAAATATCTAAATTGGTTTCGGATTAGTGAACACAGACTAAATTATTATTTATTTATTTAAACACATAAACATTGGTACAAGGAGGCACCAAGTAGATATGCGCCACATAAATCACCCGATTTGTGTGAGGGCTGTGATACTGCTCGGGTACCTGGACCGAAGCAGGTGGTTTTCCTAGGGGGCCACACCCCGAGCCTTTGACCTAAAAGTTTAACCCACAAGGCAGTGGAGCATCGTAAGGAGATGCAGTCCCATGGTAGCAGGTGACCAACGATTGGTTCATACGCCATTTTTTCCCGCAGGATACTGGAACCCATGTGCACCATTGGTTTGGGATATGGTTAAAGCGCCAGACATTCGCTTTTCGTCCTTTCAATTTCGTAAACAACACCCCCGCCACGAGAAGACAGTGAGTAGGACTTCCATGGCAGAGGCTATATACGCGTAGCCGTTTGAGAGTATTTCGAGAAGGAGGGCGGACTTTCCCCACTCTCGGCCGTACCAGAGCATTTGGGGGCACACAGACTAAAACGCTCTCTTGATCGATTCAGTCTATCAACATAAGTCAGGGAATCAGTAGGTAACTTGGGTATTTTTAAACAACTGTAATGGCTAGTGAGTAGGGATGATCACTCACCAAAAATCTTTCAAATAATAATAAATATTATCAACAAATTAATGTCTCTAGACAATTTCGGCAGAATAGCATTCGTATATTTAACGTATTCACAACTTCTTGAGAAAAGAAAAAGCTCTTGTGTCATTGTCCAGATCAACCAATTAAATTTTAAACAAATCTTCATATCTCTTGTACCAGACGTCTAATGTAATATCATTTCCGGGATCAGAAGTAAAATCAGTGATTTGAAGTGCCAATCTTCCTTAAAGTGTCTCACTTCTAAGCATAGACTAACAAAAGTAAACATAAATGAATTAAGTATTGCTACCAAGGTGTTACTGGATAATTTCAAATGAATGAAGAACTAGGCGAATGGTTTATAACAAAAAGAACAAAAGTATGCTATTAAAATGTATCAATGAGTAAAATATTAAACTTCTGATATTTTGCGACTTAATATAAGTCGCTTATTCAGTGAATAAAACGGAAGAAATTCACTTTACTATTTATTGGGATATTACAAATATATTATCATATTATTTATTATACATCAATTAGGATGAAAAAAACCCACTGTAGGGTAAAACAAATAAAAACCACAGAAATACTGATAATATTAACTGGATATACTTTATCAAGTTTTTACTGATTTATCACAGGTATATCCTCTGAAGCCAGTAAAAATAGGCTGAGTAACGAGAATTGTGATGATACAAATCACCAAATTTTCATTGTCATTTTGGAAACTGCTAACTGAAGTAACGCCTCATTCATGATGCTTTCAATAGAAGCTACACGCTAATGTAATATGATATAGTTAGTGACATCTGGAAATAAATTTTAATTAAGTATTATTTCACTTTTGCGTAAGTTGATTTCATGAAAAGTTGAGATAAGTAAACATTGTTGGATATTACATTCTTACTACCTAAGATGGGTAATTTCGTTTACCATATTAAGACTATTCTGGTCATAACTGACAAGCCTTTTTTTCCTAATTCAATGTGAAAACTGTTCAGAATAATATTCGTTTTATTTTCAGTGTAATAATGTAATTTTTATTCAAGATAAGATATTCTTTATATCGATTTAACATGTTCAGCATTCGATTTCGTCATAATTTCGTATATGTGACTTACATTTACATATATTAAAATAATTAAACAAAGTGTATGTATGGTAACATATTCAATATTTTAATAGGTTACTATATGTTGATTTATGGAAACTATTAAGTTCATTTTTTACAATATCGAACGGGATTTACTATCATAAATGTTGTTTTTAAAGGTATGTAGCTTTATCTAGGTCTTAGGAATCGAATAAGTATTAATTGGTATAGACGCATTTCGAACCTTGTTACGTTTCTATTTTAATCTATCTTAAAGTGTTCAAACCTGTGGGTAACATCCTCACTTTGCTTGGATACTCGTCTGCGTAGTTACATAATGCTAAGGCATAAAGTCGCTTCTGGGTATTTTTCGTACTTTTTTTGTATGATTATATTAGTTAGGCAACTAGAAACAAACTAACGTTATCATGCTTTTCTCGTAGTTGGAAAATGATCGTGAAGTGGATATTGTATTATTTAGAAAACTTGGTGCTTAATTTATTTTTGAGGACTGTGTCATGCATATAATAATAATAATTTTAGGAATCAACATTCCTTTATATAACAATGGTTTTATTTCTAGTTTTCAGGCTAAAGAACGATGGGAAGCGAAATCGAATATGTAGCAATGTAGCTACCGCATCCAACAACATTGGAGATTATACGAGGATTTTAAAAGCCAACAGTGCTGTTATAGTTTAATAAATTTCTAAGGAATAAACCAATATTTTACGCATATTTCACAATAATCACCTATTTACATAGTACCCAACATTAGATGCATTTTACTTAAAACACCACTTTTGTGTGCCATGGTTTCACCTGTCACGTTTCAAAAACCGGACCGTAAATTTACTTAACTACTGAGTTATGTTATTCACTTCTACAAATTTCAGTTTGTTATGTACATGATATTCGTTCCCTCTAACTCACAAAAATTCAGTAGCTTATGATCAGATATTGCAATTAATTGGGTTACCTTGTTAGTATTGAGAATATTTCATGTTACTTTACTTGTAGTCATTAAATCGTATATTCTAACTACATATGAAACCAGATAAGTTATACTATCGTTATTAGATAGGTAAACATTTCACTACTGGAAGTTTGTACAGACTTGCCCACAATACGTCGCGGAGTGATTAGACGGAGATTACTACATGTAAAACAAAATTAAAGGTGGTTAAACCAGACTCATTTAACTTCAGTAGGTTGTTTTCCAGATTGTCTGCTCTCAGATTACTACTTAGCTATCAGTCAGAAGTGTTTCCGGATCCTACACTTTATTGACCACGTCAACGTGAAATTCGAACTGTCTAAACGAGCTTGACAGCACTTTGAGTTGTTTTCATGTCTGCAGTCATGTACAAATCCCATTATACCAATTGGATTCAACCAGTATACCTTGATGTCTGTAGATAGTCTAGTCTCTAACTTAGATAAATATTCATCCCCTTAGTAGGTCCTCTGATATTGCAGCTTATTTGCACTATGAAGAATAGCTACTTATATGAAATCTCCAAAGTGACAAGTGTGGGCAAAATATCACATCAAGTTTTTCGATCTTTACTTCGTTGCCATTCTCATGATTAACAATTCTATTTTACGTTTCTTTTATGCACCAGCAAGATCCAGAATTTATAGCCAATGTTTGTCGAGAAACATGCGAATCACATTCCCAACGTACCACTAAGATATCTAATAAGAATTGCTTTATATACGTTCACCTCGGCGAGCTGTTATCTATGCATTTATTACGAGGGCATATGTACTGCTAGGACTAACTATTAATGTTTTCAACTAGATTAAGTAGTTAATGACTGCAATCTCGTTTTTATTGAAATTTTAGCGGAACTGATTAACTTTTTACAAATAGCGCAACATCTGTCTTTGGAATTCAAACTCGTTCCATGCTGTCACCTATAATGCTGCAATAAGTAGTGTCGCGGTTGCAGTAAGTCATCTTCATACAATCATATAATTACAGGTGTTCGATATCAGAGACTTCAAACTAACATCTAGATCATGTCTGACACAACATAAACAGACTTAATCACTTCAGCTTAGCATATCGACTTTTAATATCCTCACTGATTGGTATCATTTACTATTTTTATAACGTCTTGATTTGTTGCTAAATGAAGAAAACATAATAATTAATCAAATTTTCAAGAGCATTTATTTTTAAAGTAATACATCAAATTAGTAAAGAGTAAGCTGACGAGAATACAATTTAGATTAAGAGGTAGCAAGATAAATGCTTGGAAATAAACACACAAGATAGTCGATTAGACAAATTATGATAGGGAGACTAAAATTTTTTACATTTGTACACTAAGAAAGACAATATACATAGTACTGACACTATAAAAGTTTACAGTACGTCATTTTTTTGATAACTGCCCAGATTCTATTAGAAAATCTTCAAAATCAGCTGCTTGTTCTCCATCTAATTCTCCTAAAGATTCATCAGAAAGATTGAGTTTCGAACCGATTTCTTCATATACTTGGTTTGATTCCGTCCAATTTTGACAATTGGTGTTTTGAATAGCAGCCATTTCGGAAGCGTACATTAGCAGGTCTAAAACAGTGGAACGGAGTATTTTTGTCGGTAACTGTTCTTCGACTAGTAGTGTGCGCATCCCACTTAGGCATTTATTTATTAACATTGAGAGATACGATGCAGATGTGCAATCTGTGGACGACTGATACGGGTCATTCTCCCGATCATCCAAACTACAAGTACGTTGCCAGGCACCATTAAGTACTCTTACATTGACACTTGCTAAAGCGGAATTGAAATACATAAGTCCGTGAGAGAAACCATCAAATAATTGATACAACAAGCTATCCCAGCTGGTTTCAGATAAAAGAGCGCACGATGCATCTAGTAGAGACAAGCCGGTTTCATTCACTTCAGAGTTTCCCACTCTGACAAAATGAAGTTGGAGTTCGCAAACGGCATTCACAAGTAAACAAAAATCTATACAGGGTTCAATGGGTGGAATACATACGTAGGATTCACAATCATCAGAAGCGTTTAGATTAGTAATAAGATATCTGAGGAACACAACCAGACCAAAAAGATGATCAATTGGTAAGTCCATTGGTACTTTTTGAACATCACTGGACTCCACACTCATCCTACAAGATGTAGTGGAGTCAGACAAAACATTTTCTGAGCTTAACATCAAAGACTTCAAAATGCTTCCAGATAGAACTTCTTGAGTCATCAACTTAACACTTTTCAGGACACCAGCTTCCAAATCATTCCCCTTTGTATCAGGCAAATAGGCTCGTACATCTTTAAAACATCGGAATCCCAGACTGACTCGTTTAACATTTTTTGTAGTCAACTCGGCAAGGATTTCTCCAACCAAATGAGATGCCTGTGGTAAATCAAGCTCTGCAATTGCTTTAATCTGGAGTTAAGGAAATAACCCAACAAAAAATATTGTTACGGTGAAAAGTTGAATTAAAATTATTACATTGCTACCCTACTTAGTAAAATACTTTATCCAAGTGGGTAATTATTGTTTATTTATTTTATTTAAACACATAGATATTAGTACGAGGGGGTACCAGATACATATTTGCCACACAAATTTTATTTGATATGTGTGAGGGCTGTGATACTGCCCGGGTGCCCAAATCGGAGCAGGTGGTTTTCTTAGGGGGCACACCTGGAGCCTTCGTCCTAAAGGTCTGACCCACAAGGCAGTGGAGCAACGTCAGGAGATGTAATCCCATGGTAGCCGGTGACCAATGATAGGTCCATACCCCATTAGTTCCCTCCGGAGCCCATGTACACCATTAGTTTGGAATCAGGGTTTTTCAAATTCTCTAGGTAGAATCTCTGTGTCCACCAACCCGGTTAAAGAGCCAGACATACGCTCTTCGTCCTCTCAATTTCGTGAACACCCCTGCCGCGAGAAGGAATTTCCTGGTAGTGGTTATATGCATGTGGCCATGTGAAGGCATTTCGAGAGGGAGTTGACTTTCCCCATTCTCGGCCGTACCAGGGCATTTATTGTTTACTCAAAGGTAATAAAATACTCTGGATTGGTGGCGTAATAGTTAGTGCCTGACTATTAACAATCCTAGGTGTTTTTCCCTCACCAAAGTAGAAGCTAATCTTCTAGTGGCTTGAAGTCAGGTACATAAAATATTTACTTGTTAAATTTGTTTCTACGCACGAATTGTAAACATGCAGCAGGAACAATCATGTCCTGTCATATGTTTACGAAAAAGATCACACGGAGGTTAATTATGTTTCGGAAACTGTTCTTTTAATTAGCAAAACAAAAATCTAGAAATTGATAGTTGGCATATCACCCTTTGAATAGTATGTGACGTTGATTAGACTTCTAATACACTTTATCAAAATAACGAATGTACAGATGCTATTTGTTTGAGGGTATATAATCTATTAAAACAACTAAAAACCTTGAAAATAACCGATTAGGAAAATTTACACCAAGTAAAACAGCATACCTATTGAAGTGCCCACAAAAAGGAAAGTGATATGCAAAAGGCAAAACTAAGTGACTATAAAATAGCATTATTGAATGTTAGTGTACGTTATTACTAGCCATAAATAATGGAATACTCGAAAAATATGGAAATATGCTACTGAGTTATCCTAATGGTTCAAAATACTGTGTATGTGAGGACTAGTAAGGTTAGTTGGCAATGCGACTTGCATATGTTTTTAAGTTGCATAACTGTCGGTTGCATATTGTTTTCTCCCGCCTTAACCCTAGACAACATTAGTGAAAGTAAATCATCACAGGACACTACCTATTTTAGGACGCACTACTGCATGACATTGAAATATATAAGAACAACTTAAGAGGTAAATAAAGTCAGTTTACATAGTCACTGGTGCTTGAAATGGTTGACCTATGAGAGACAGCCCCTATTTATTTGTTTGCGTTATAGTACCTCATGATCGTATGCCTTTTGGGTGGTTTAGTTAGTAATGAACTTTCTTGATCTCTAGTTGAATTAAAGCCATTTAGGATCTGTGGTCTAACTAACTAGTAAACATAAGTTACAAGTTGATAACAATGAACTATGAACAATTGTTAACGTTCGAATGATAACCATAGGTATATCAGGGCAACCGATATAAAATATTAGAGTATACAAATATCATGACGAATTCCACATTGGAAATAGGTCAACCAAGGACTTAACAAATGTAAAGTCGCGCACTGCAACACAACAGTACTTACCGTCAATACAACTACCTCTTAACCTAAGGGTTACATTTGACTCTCAGTAGTTATACGCTGATGTCTGACAGAATCGAAGGGTTAGGAGTAAACTTATCCCTAAAGAAATCAGAGCGGAGGAAACAAATTCTGTTTGTCCCAGTTACTTTAATTAGGAACAAGTAAGATGAAAACGACAAATACAATAATAGGCGGGCAATAAGAGAAAGAAAAACGATGAAATTCACAATGAAGGACCAGCACGGGTATTAACATACTGTCTGACCTTCGGCATTTACCTACAAGACTAGTTTACATATCTAAAAGATAACTGAACGTGGTCGCAAAATATACATGTGCATATATCTATCGCCCTTCCAAAAGAAAATGATGTTTCGACATTTAGTCTATAGTTACCGATCTGAAATACCTTTAAGACCACACAAACCTGTTGATGTGTGTTAGGAAACGTCATAATCCATTAACTGATTTACATTCACGCAGAATGCATTGATAAAAAACTACTGACATGGAAGACAAACATTTAAGTCTAAATGAAACGAAATTCAGCGTTGAAACTGCTTGGCACTATTTATGTGAGGAATCCGAAGACAATTAGTAGTATTGTCGGATGACTTACTTTTTTCATGTGTGCTTGAACCTCTCCTTGAGGTACATTGAAAACATCCTCAACCACAGTTTTCATCTCTGAC